GAAAGATGCACTCAGTGTCTTCTTTTTATGATTTTCCCCTGCTGAAGGGAAATATTTTCTTAGCTATGTCCCTTCAAAAGCTGGATGGAAATAGTAGGAATAGTATCTGCTCCTTCCACTAGTGCTATCTGATAATCAGGATGGGGGACAAGTGTTATGGTATGTGTTGTACAGAGGATGACATGTGGCTACATTCTGTTTTGTGCCCTATAACATATGGTCTGTAAAAAAAACCAAACACGCAAAACCTGACTGTGAATTGAAAGAATCTGGATTTTTTGGAAATGGACTGTAATATTATCCTAACAGAGCCTGCAAGGACTAGACTTTTTAAAAAAATATCTCACTTCAGATTGGGATCCCTCAAACCAGTGTCTGAGTGCAGGATTTTCTATAGATCTTCTGAAAAATGGCCTTATGAGAAAGAAAACACTACTGGGCAAGAGGAAGAAATGTAGGTGACAAAATCCAGTTGTTAATATTTCTCAGAACAATTCTGCCAGAAGAAAATTAAGAAATTTTTCTTTTTGTATTTTGTAAGACCTTCCTAAATCTGAGCCCACCAAAATTCCTCCATCTCTTCTAGAAGTACCTGTGATTCAGAAGGTACTGTGATTAAGCTGCAATTTCAAACACATGGCTTTTCAGTATTTTCTATTTGTCATATACTTCCTAGAAACAGGACCTCGGTGAGGAATGTAGTTGTTCATAGAGATCTCTAGTCTTTTGACTGAGAATGTAGAAAAATGCAGCAATTAGTGCCAATTTTACTTGTATCTCTCTTCTTTCTCTCACTACAGACAACTATTCATCATGTAATAAACACATACAATGCACTCATTTCACTTATGTCTCTCTCTGAGCTTTCCACCTAAATTCATATTGTTTATAGCAAACCACCAATCTTGGGAAAAAAAAAAAAAAAAAGAGTGAAAAAGTCTGCAGTTTGTATTGTTTGGGTTTTTTTATTTTAATCATCTACACTAAAGAAAGAGAAATAGATTGAATCTCAGATGACAACCAGATGTATAAAACACATGCATTTTCAAAGGACATCTCACTGGAGAGCTATTGTCTGCTTATCCAAAAGTAATCCCATTCTCTACAGCTGGCAACAGATGCATCTAAATTCTCACTAACCTCAGAAAATGTCAGTTCTGTATTTTCTCTCCCTGACTCTTCTGAATTCAGCAATATGGGACATATTATTAAATGACATCTAGCAATGAAGGCAAAGATTTTTAAAAGTTTGACAAACTTATTAGTTGTGGGATTTTCTACCACTGCATGTGTTAAAATAAAAACTGGATGTTATTATGGAAGTTACATACAGTTACAGTTAGATACAAACAAGAATCAGTTCAAACCATTTCTACTGTGTGAGGCAGTTACAAAATAGCTATGGTCTCTCTTGGCCATTTAATAATATTACAGGTCTTAAAAGATGCTTCAATGTCCGTGTCTTACAAAATTACTGTAGAATTTTAGGTCTCATAGTGATGGTAATATAGCATGACAAATCTGGCTAAATTTATCAAGGGCTAAACTTTAACATTCAGATAGTTACCATAAATCAGATACCCTGAAATATCTGGGTGAATGGTTAGTAACTGGATTATCAATCTAATTATCTAGAGATAATGATAACAGTTTTGCTGAGGGGATAATTGTGCATCATAGCACAAAATGCCAAATATGGAGAGCGAGTGTGGATAATTAAAAGTTGTTGGCATTTTAAATATATTTTTTAAAAATATACATCCTTTGCCACAAACTGGGATAAACTTAATATGAGTTGGGTCTTAGGCTGTCCATTTCTCAGTACCCATTTTTTTTTTTTTTTTTCACCTCTTGACACTCCTGATCTTTCTAGGCCTGAATCTTTCAAAGAATGAAGTTAATTTGATGCATTGTCAGTAGTCTTCCCTTTGGTGGAGTTTTACCAGAACTATTGCTTCTGATGTTAGTCTTACAGACATTCTGGCTATTTGCATGACTTCTTTTTTATTCTAGCCCTACATGAACATCAATGCTACATAACATGAAGAGGAAAGAAAGCCCAGACAACTCTCTGCCTTGTTCAGGTTGAATACAGACACAAAACCTCAGAAGTGTGGAAATAACACCTGTGGGGAGAAGCATCCTGTGCCCCTACAGGCTAACACTCAACATTCAGCACTGTTAAGAGATGTTTCAGCTAAGGATTTTATTTTCACTTCCAAGAGACAAAGGGAGACAACATGTATCTCAAATTCAACTGTATTCTAGCCCAAAATCATAACACTGAATTCAGATACACTTATCTGAATAGATCAGATACTCGATGAACTTTTGCTCCTGATTGCTACCATTAGAGAGTTGCATTAAAGAGGTTACTGTTCAGTGCCAAATTATGCCTGTCTTGCACAGGGAGTAAAGGAGCATGGATTTTTCTTCTTTGCTATGCACTTTGCATAGAAAGAAGGATAAATGGAATCTCTTTTATCAAGGGAGTACAGGATCTGTTCTCTCCTTGCATTTAAGACACAAACTATAACACCAAGAGGTGGGGTCTGCTTGTTTTTTATAGGTGACTGCTTTTGGAGAAACAATGCACCATTTTAAGAACCACTTTTGCATTGTGGATCTCTCACGGGAATGCTGCAACACATAAATGAAGAGCTCAACAAAGTGTGGCAGTCTCGAGCTCTTAGGCTGCCACAGTTCATGTTCCTTTGACCACCAAAACAATTAACAATGGAAAAGCACCAGGAAGTTGTTAGTTTAAACACTGCAAAATGAAATTAGCCCCTGTGGGCAGTAGAATGAAAATGCTGCAGAAGGTAGATGAATGAAAGGCTGTTGTGCAGGACCAAGTCATCTGTTAGATAGTGTGCTGACCAACTCCGGATGCAAGAGACATGAAAGTCACATGTGTTAGTCTATTTGATGCTGAGTCAGCATTTACTCAGTAAACATTTCCTGTATTTTAAAATCCTGGTCGTTGCAACTGTCAGTCTAGGTTAAAACCTTAGATATAGGTTTTGGCACAAGAACTCATCCTTTGAATAAACGCCCCCCACCCCCCGTTACTGTGGGACTAGGTGGAGCATATCTCTGGTTTAGTAACAGGGAGGTGAATATTCGCTTGGGCCCCTCCTCAGAGCATGAAACTCTGACCTCTGTCTCAAGCCCTTCTTTGGGTGGAGGAAATACAGCAGTAAAAATAACACAGAAGTGGGGACTAATTTTTATGGTTTTGATCCTTATCATTATGAACCTATAGATTACAGGCAAACTTCTGGGAAATTGTGGGAATAAGATAAGTCTATTTGCACAAATTAAACTTCCCAAGAGTTTAGCAACAGTCATATACAATGACTGTGTGGAGGTGATTTGGATTTACACAGTGGCCACCAATCTGCTCATCGGGAAACAAACCTAAAACCAAAATATAAATATAATGGTTCCTCCCAGGTAGACACCCCAAAATATCCTAAAATCACCAGCAAAGTTCTTAGGATCATGACAAGAACTGCAAAAATAGGATTTATTATTTTGTGGCAATTACTATAATTATAATTGTTACCGCTGTCTTCTTTTTGCCTCCTGGATTTTTATACTTTTAAGTTTGCTCCTCAGCTGCAATGGCATGCAACTTCTTTTTTAATGTTAAAGTTGAGATTTTCAGGTAATCACTTCATTACAAGAGTGGAGGCCTTTAAAAACCAGCTCAGTAGTACAAGTTACAAAGTGGAGTAATGAAAGGCAGTAACAGAAGTGACTGAATCTGATAAAATAAATGAAAATAAATAAATAAATAAATAATAAAATAAATGGGCATTTCAAAGCATGCAGACCACGAGCACATCCCCCATCCCAAAACTTGACCAGAATTTTACTTATTTTTAAATAATTTTGAGTTGGTAGAAAGTAGAAATGACAAGCAAATAATTCAAAATATACTCAAACAAACCAGTTACTGTATGCTATAGAAACCAAGACATACCTCAGTCCTCCTTATGCTAGTTTGTTGAGTTTCTCTTTCAAAACTGACACTTTAACTTTAATTAGCACTTCAGAACTTGTTTTTTGATCTGCAGTTAATACAACAATTTAGAAGCTACTGATAATTACATTGTAGAATTAACCCTTAATTATCTATTTTGCATGTCATCATTTGTCTGCAGTTTATGTTCTTCATAGCATAAAATGTGGTGTGAACAAAGAAAAATGAGAATGAACAGACAGAAAGAATATACAGCTCTGAAGGAAAACAGGGACTGGGAATGTTCAGAAACTTAGGAAAGTTTAAGAAAGAATCTACAATGAAAACAGTACATGAAAAATGAACTTCAGACTCAGAAATAAAATACAGATACTTACTTTTAATATATATAATGTTTCACATTTTATAAGAGAATGGTACGTTTTTTCAGAATATGTCACATTTAAAAATATTTTTTTTAAAGATCAGTTAATAATATAAACACAGAGATCATATAACCGGTTAAGTGCCGATGAGACTATGAAGACAACAGCTGTAATATGCAAACCAGTGTAGTGATCTATAATTAGGCTAAAAAGGTGATATTTCCTATTTTATGAATTTGATTTTATTTCTGTTATTGAAGTATCACTAGTTTTAAAAGAAACTAATTTTTTTCAGGTGCTTTGACAAATGTTATAGACAGTATTTGAAATGTTTTCAGATTAGTGAAAACAAAGTAATAAACCACCAACCTTTCAAGGCAACATTTAACTCCTACATGATTTTTAGTATAAATTTTAGTCAGTGGAGTCAAAACATAAACTTCTTGGTACTTTTTAAGAAGGGAGATATCTACAGCTGCTGACTTTATTGACTAATAACAACTTTTTTCTAAGGTAAAATTTTCTTAGGTATAATAAATAACCATAATGTTGAAACAGGGTGTTTATGATCAACATAATCTCATAAATTACATTGTATGGTAGTTGATTGTATAAATATCCATGGAAATATATATATTCCTACTTACCCAACGGACAGGAAAGGCTCCTTTGATTCAAGTCTGTCAAGTGAATAACAGAAGTTTTAAATATATGTATATATTTATTGTATTTCAGAACATTTATACGGTGAATTTCAAACTCTCAGTATCACGTTTATGTGGTGACCAATACACAATTTAACAATAGAAAGGCCTGATTCATTATGTTAGGAACTTAACTTGGAAAAAATACTATTTACTTAACTGAACTTTAGTTTAGAAATCAAATATTTACGAAGCAGCCCTTTAAATTTCACAGGTTCCGGTGACTTGTGCAGATATTTACACAAAGTCTAGAGTGAACAAGTAATACTTTGTCCTTTCTTTTTCATTTTTCATGTAAAATGTTTTTTTTTTCTTTATGAGCATGTTTTAGGAAGATTTTTTTTTTTTTTTAAAAACACCTTAAAACATAAAATTTATTATGGATGTAAAAACTTCCCTGACCTGAGGGCTTCCACACCCATTTTTCTGCTTTCCAGCATCATTTATTCATATAACATGGTCACTTTATCACCATGTTATTCATATAACATGGTCACTTTATTGTGACAACTTGTGGCACATCTGCCACAATCAGCCTTGCACTGGAGTTAGATGCCACTGGATTGATAGAACCAGAATCATGCCCAGTTCTAAAATTAGTTGTTAAAAGTGTTGTTCTACAATACCCTGATGTTACTGCTGTCTCTGTAAGGAGCTGCATCAGTAACAAACTGGCAGAAGACCCTAAGTTTCCAATCAACCAGAGTAGATTTTTAAATCCTCATCTATATTATTGTATTGTATTTCTGCTCCAGTACATGCAACTGGTTGCTCTTAATTTTGAAGTGTATCCTGGCTACAATGAGTTTAATAATAACAGCTGCTTATTAGGATCATTAGCATGTGACTTTAAGGTCTTTTATAAACATATTTAAAGCAAATTTACAAGTCAATTATTTTGAGAGGTTACATGGCATGCAAATGATGGAAAAGTTCTCTTTGTGCTAATTTACATAAACTCCTGTGTTAGGAAGAACAGCAAATAAAAACCCCAGGTATTTAATGTCTCTTTGTAGCCTATGAGAAAAGTGTTTCTAACAAAGCAAAGTATGTCATATCTGGAACTGAACATTTAATTTTTGGTGAGTTCTCCCGCCTGAAACCAGTTCAGTGACACAACAAAATATCTGAGATAGAACTGTAAACAGGACTGATTGTAAAAAAAAGTACTGTAAATAATTTGTCAGTGTTTAAGAACAAACCTTTTCTGCAAGTCTTCTTTGTAGAAAAAACAAGTACATTTGCAGTTATTATTCATTTAGCAAAGGTTTTGTCCAAAAAACTCACAAACCAATAGATCAGTTCAGTTACTGCCACCTATCCAGAAGGGCATTTACAAAAGATGAACCTGTCACTGTTCTTTTGAAAGGATTATATGGTTGTCTTTTATTGAAAAAAAAACTGTATGTAATCTTGAAAAGTATTTACTACTTCTTTTCTAGAATCATTAGTGGAATTAACTCAGGAGCCTGTCTCCATTTACAGTGCCATCTTCCAATGTACTTTAAACCCAATTTCCTGGGGTTAGATTTCCAGCAATGATAAGGACAACTTGCATAAGGTTTGAGGAGACACCAAAACATAGTAATTTTTCTGTTGTCCTCATGGCTATACCTCACCTTGCCATTTCTCTCTGGGGTTGTGAACTCCATGGAAGTAAAAGAGTAGAAGGGATCACTGATAGCCCTGTATGTACCTGGCAGTGCAGTGAAAGCCCAAAGCTGGGTATCCCCACTCTCAGGGGCACTACAGGGCAGTCCCAGTCATAAATGCTTTCCCTCCTAGACTGCCATGGCAAACACCAAAATCTAATAGCACAAAGAAAATGTTTAGCTCGTCATCCTCTGTGCTTAGGCAGTGCTGCCAGAGAGCAATAAAGTGAGGGAACCCTTCATGTGCAGGTTGCATCTTTCTCCCACAGACTCTGTGCAGTCACCATGACAGCTTCATGGACCAGCTTTTCCTGCTGTGGATGACACCATTACAGGAAAATATCTGCATCATCTTTGCAGCTTCTCTCTGGTGTATGAGGAACAGTCTAACTAGTGTTATGGTTTTGTTTCTCATTTTTCTGCTTAAAGAGATGAATCAGACCTGGGAAGTACCCAGTGTTTGGCTCAAGAGATTAACTATAAACAAAATAAGCAATGATTGAAAGCCTCAGAACATATTTACATACTTCATAATACAGAAGTATTTTAATGAAGAGAGACCTCGCACTATCCTAATGGAAGATATTCTGGTGGATTTTACTTGCAAATGAAAAGTGTGTGATAGAATGCCCTGTGGACAAAATACTGCGATTAAAAACTCTTTGAAATCCATTCTCAAGATGGAATTCAATTTGATTTAAATAGTGATGCCCTAGGTTTGACCTCTCTGTAGTATTTGACTAAATAGTTTTGGATAATTTGCTGCATTACTTTAAATTAGTTCAAGTGTTCCTCATAATAAAGGAATACAATTATCTGTTGGCCTTTTATTTAAATTGGTATTTCAGTATATGGCAAATTAATATAAAGGTTTTAAAACTGCAACACCATATAAAATAACATCCTATGTCATCTTGACATTTTTCAATATATATTAGAGATTTTTTTTATAGATTTTTCTTTTCTAGCCTGTAGTACGCCAAATTTTCCAGAGCTTTGAGGAGGTCTTGCATAATTAAATATGCTATCTCAAAAAGAGTAATCCTGATAAACTGTAAGAAGTGCTATCATACACTTTCAAGAAAAATATTAAACTGGAAATTTTAGTTTTTGCAAAAATATATCAAGCATGCAAGAAAGGTTGGACAGTAAACAGAGAAGTTAAAGTTTTAATTATTTAGGAATAGTAATGAAGCTGGAGTGATTAGGAGTTTTCTTTCTTTCCTGAAACCATTTTCCCATCAGAAAATTTCAGTATGTCAAAATGTCAAGGCAATATATCACTTTGAGAGGAGGGAGGCAGGTTAATCAATAGGATAACTGGGACATGGCAGGCTGAGGCTGTGTTTCCCTTTGATTCTGAGCTAAGGTTCTCTTAAAGATCTGGTTTTCTTATCTAGATGTAATGGATAAGTTTTTGCAGGAGGAAAAAGGATTTTTATACTATGTAAATTGCTCAGTTAAATTAAGTCCCTGTAAACCAAACAGGCGTAGGCAATCAATTTATATCCATTGACATGCTACAGTACTGTTACAATCTGTGTTTAAAGTAAGGACCTTAGAAATTTCCCATTTAGTATTTTACCCCTTGCAACCTGTCTTGGACAGTTATTTTACAAGATCTGATTAACATAATTGTGTATTTCATGATTTTCTTTGTTGCTAAGCTTACTTATATTAATGCCAATTATCTAAATCCCATCTTTGACATGGACTGAACATGTAGATGGACAAATTTTTCAAGGTTTGCAGACAAACATAGAAGAAAACGTGACTAGACTAAGGGCATGTGTATTCCTCTTTGACTTGTAAACAAATCATTTAAGGACAGGAAGATCCCAAAGTAAAAACTCCACTTTGTTGCATAATTGTCCTGTTTAGATTACAAACAAGATGGCTTTTTATATCTGAGGCCTGACCTGAGATACATAAATCAGTATCATTTCTTGTTAAGGAATCCTCAACTGTCCTTCACAAAACCTATTTACAGGACAAAGTGGATAAGATACCAAACAATATCAACACTGTACACAAGCAAACGGATTTTAGCCAAGCATTCTTCAAGGTAGCTCATTATTAATCAACATATTCTTCCTTATAGTGACCATATAATGTCATCTCTAAGGAGTTAGTAAGAAAAACATGTGGAGTTTAAGGCATTTGTTAGGGTTCTTATTCTGGCTTTTTCATATAATAAAACCTCTACCCTGAATCAGGGAAAGTGATGGTCAGGAACCAAAACTTTTTTTAGATGAGTCACCATTTGGGGTTATCATCTTCAAATTAGAATTCCCAAGGAGGATAACCTGAGTGTGTTGCTGACATCGTGCATTTTGACAATAAAACTAATGAATAGTAACTGCAGTTTCGGGGGCGATTAGATGGTTTAATACCTCTGACAGGAATACAAAGGATTCAAGCTTTTCTTTCAAGCCATGTAGGAAAGACAGGCCAACTGAAATGCGTTTTGGACTTCAGTCGCTTGATGAATTGGCTCTATAGTGTTAATGTATATATATTTTGTATGACTGATGTGACTGCCTTATTTACCTGTCTATCTCTTCGCTCTGCACAGCTCAAAGTTTTAACAAAAATATGTGAAGACAAAGAATATACAGATCTATGGCTCACCCTGTTGTCAATGAATTTAATTTTAAAATTATAACCAAGGACAACTCAAGGGACCTTTCAAAACAAACTGAGGCAGTTTTCCATTCACAGTAATCAACCAGGGTTGCATTTTCTCTGCATGTTGGCTTCATGGTTTGAAGTCAACAGTCATTAGTAATGAGAAAACATCTTCCCTGAGAAATTTTTAAGCAGTATTGCTCATATTTTGTCCACTAATTCCTTTCGTTTTCAAAGCATGTGCATTCTAACTTTTTGTAACTCTCAATATTCATAAACAATGCAAGTAGGCCTAATAAAAACATCTCTTGATTCAGAGAAGAAATATTATTTATTGAAACTTCCACTATGTATTGAGACTGAAATGGCCATTGCTGGTGTATGCTAGGTAATCCATGCTTCCTTCCTTCCTTCCTTCCTTCCTTCCTTCCTTCCTTCCTTCCTTCCTTCCTTCCTTCCTTCCTTCCTTCCTGCCTCCCTCCCTCCCTTCCTTCCTTCCTTCCTCCCTCCCTCCCTCCCTCCCTCCCTTCCTTCCTTCCTTCCTTCCTTCCTTCCTTCCTTCCTTCCTTCCTTCCTTCCTTCCTTCCTTCCTGCCTCCCTCCCTCCCTCCCCTCCTTGCCATTTATAATGATTTCTGCAACGTAAAGTAATTTCAATCCCAGGCATTTTTTCTGGACATCAGTAACTGTTAGAATT